GAAGCCCAGCGGCGGGCTCTGGCCACTCAGGCATGGCAGGCTGTGCTTCCCTCCATCCATCCAGACTGCCTGCCTGCCTACCCGCCTGCCTTCCTCCCCGGCCAGCACGGCCCCGCATCATTCAGTGCACCCGGCGTACAAGATGACCCCCTCACTTGGAGGCATGTTTTTTGGGCCCAAAAAGTCATCTTGTACGCCGGCAAATACGATACTTATGCATAATTACAGTTCATGTGAAGAATGTTATATGACCCTTCAAAAACCATGGAAGAACTTTCATGGAAATTTACATCTTCTGCACACTTTACACAATACATTACTAAATGTTCTGAAGGAATCTACAACTATGGAAGGATAATTGGAAGTCTTCACAGAATTCTTTCCAACTGTAACTATATCACAGTAGGAAATAATGCTTAACCCTTTTTCTGCCACTTTGTAGAGATCTGTACCTTATTGACAAGATAATTAAAAAAAATTTTTTTTGAGTATTAGCATCTTCCTTGAACTAGGAAGATGCAAATGCTCCAGAGAATTAAAATAGGAGATCACCTGTACAAAAAAACTGATGAGCAAAATCAGGCTTAAGCAATTCCACATCCACATCCTCTCAGCACATCTGCCAAGATGCGCAGTAATTCCTCATTAAATATTCTTAGGAGCAGAAAAAAGTAGATCTGGGTTTACTAGTAAGACCTCTGGGTCTGCAACACACACAGATTTCTTGCTCCCAGCTTTTTCAAATGAACAGCGACAAAATGATTCCAGAAACTAAAATAATTGTGCTCCCCACCATTATTTTAGTTTTTATCTTGTAAAATTTTAAATAATTTTTTAAAAAAGACAAAAAAAACCCACAACATGATTCCAGCCTCTCTAAATAATATTCATGAAAAAAATGGAAAGTAACCAAGAACAAATGTGGTGTGAACTCTCTTCAGTTTTGACAACCAAAACAGATTTCTGAGCTCGTATTTTTTTTTAATCTTCATTAAATGTATTTTGTGTCAAGGTCTGGACATCTTCTTGAGACTATAGATTAAAAAGAGCAGTAGAGCCCAGAAGTCTGAAGCCTGCCCATCTCAACGGGTGGGACTGTCTTATAGTTTAGGAACAAGCATCAGTGCGACTAATCACAACCCCCTACCGCCCAATGCACATTCCAAATAAAGCCCACGGTGCTCCATCGAGCATACTTGGGTTTTTTTTTTTAATGTGCATAAGGTTGCAATTTTGGTCATTTGATGGACGACCTAAGACAGTCTAAAAACGAGATGTACGGAAAGGAGGTTCAACCTACGAAGGCCCGCCTGGCGGTCCTTCCCTCCTTGAGGTACTTGGGAACATAGTAAGATGTTGTACAATCATCCTTACTTCCTTCCCCGCTTCCTCGGAAAGGAAGAGGAAGGTGAGGAAGAAGCCCTTCCAGAAAGAGAAGTTTGCCAGAGGAGCGTCGCTGTGTCTGTTGCAGGAAAGACACCCAGGAGTCTCGGGGGGGGGGGAGGCACCTGACAGACGAACGACTCGATCGCCAACATCCGCTGCCGTGTGAACGCTCAGCGGGCAGCGATCTCTGGCTTTCCGCGCCTGGCCCGGAGAGACACTGAGGGAAGCCGGGAGAGCAGCATCCTCTCCCAGGCGCTGCCCGGCCTCGCCTCTCTCCGCACTAGCCGCCAGGAGCGGCGCCCTCCGAGGCACCCCCCGCGCCGCCTCCCTCCCTCCCTCCCTGCAGCCGAACCAGGCAGAAAGCCTCGGGCGGAGGCGAGAGCTCTGCAGCCGCCCCTCACGGACACGCTCCTGGTGGCATTCCCACCCCTGGACGCATCCCCCACGCCGGGAGCGGGAGCAACGCGGCTCGCTTCCCATCCCGGGCTCGGCCCAAGCACCTTCGCCCAAGTCCACCCCCCCTCCTACCTGGCCGTGTGGCGCCGCCTGGTGATTCCCTCTCCTCCCCTCCCCTCCCCGAGAGGGACTCACACATTCTCCTCCCGCCGGGCCGGGCGCAGAAACCTGCCGAGACAACGGAGAGGGAGGAGCCGAAAACGAAGGGGGGGGGCGGGACTTCGTAGAGGCAGCACGAGTGTCTCCGAGGTCAGATTCGGACAGCCAATCAATCTCCACCTCCAGAGATCCCATGACGGAACCCCGCCCTCCCACGACTCGGTAAGTGTTGCAGAACAAACGCGCAGGCGCAGCGGCAGACGATGAGGCGGCGCGGCGCTTGGTCCTAGCGCCTGAATGGGTGTTTCCCCCCCCTCCCCGCAGGGCGGCGCTCGCTTTACCTAGTTCTGCCAATTCGCTCTGCGCAAAATCGCCTTGTTAAATGGAGCAAGGTGGATGCGTCAAGCGTGTATTGCTCTCAAGGCTAGTTTGAATAGGGTTTTTAGACGCGTATAGTACTTGGCTAAACTTTGAGTAGCTCCCTCGTCTTTGGAAGAGAAACAAGGGAGTAAGCTTAGCAGTTCTAGCCGGCACTCCTCTTGGGCTTGCTTGTGTGCGGTAAAAATTCCCGAGTTCACGTCTCTAGAGGCTTTGGACCCAATAACCATACGTAGATGACTTTAAACTTAATGAGGCCTTTCGTTTTACAGAGATGAAACTTAGATGCAGTTGTTTTGTGGGCACCTACATCACGCGTACTGTATAACACAGGTAGAAAAATGCAACCACTTTTTACAGCTCCTAGACTCTCTCATAAGCAAAGAGCGTACACTTTCTCAGGAGCCCACACACATAAAATATTGGCGCAAAATTGAAGCCTCAAAGATTTTTCTCCGTTGATAAATGCAAAGAATGGTATTACAAAATCTAATGCAATATACTATTATGTCAATCTGACAAAAATGCGGTGCCGCTTTGGAAATGCTAGGAGTTGCAGTCCAAAATCTTTAGTGGAAATGTGCAAGTGTGACTGCTATGGACTATTTGGTTCGGCCCAATGGGTGGAGAAATGTGCCCCTTTCCGTGTCCCTCCTGCACAACCACAATGAAATCTAAACTAAGATGACAAGGCCTTATCCCAAGCAGTGGTTCCCAACCTTGGGTCCCCAGATATTCTTGGACTAAAACTTCCAGAAGGCTTCACTACTAGCTGTGCTTGGGGTAGGATTTTTAGGAATTGTGGTCCAAGAACATTTGCGGAACTAAGGCTGGGAACCGCTGCTCCAAGGGAACTGCAGCTCTTGCCTCTCCATCTCTCCCACTCTATGATACAGCAGGTGAGAGGAAAAGGAAGAAGGTAATTCAAAGAACGTTCGGAGAGCGACGGTGGTTTTCCTGACTCGTATATCACGAGCATTAGAAAGAGCAAAACCACTCTCGCGATCAACACGCATTGCATCCTCTTTTGTTCTCCCGGAATGCACGTTCCCCTCCCGCACGCCTCTCACTTAAGTCACGTGGCCTTTCGCTCCCGCGTTGCCAGGGAGAAGCTATAAGCAAAACCCTACGGCGCTCCTTCTCTGGCGCATCCGAACTTTGAGGTCCCAATTTCACCCAATAGCAAGTGACGTTGCCAGGGCACCGTCCAATAGCAACGCCGAAGGGGTGGGTCAGAACCCTGGGCTCGGTTGGAACTGCTGGAGAAGGGAGAGGTTTTTTTGCGGGGGTCGAGCGGGGTGGCCCAGTCTTTGCATTGCCGGGAAGGGGCGGGCGCGAAGCAGCTCTGGGGAGCCTCTGCTCCGCTGGTGGCCCGCCGCCCTCGGTTCGCGTTGCCTCCCGCGGTTGGTGTTGCTCTCGCGGCTCTTGCCTCGTAAGTTACCTCGCTTTTTGTGCCTGGGTCCCGCCACCCCTGCTGCAGGGATGGGTGTGTCAAGGCCGGGCCGCAGTGGTCGTGTGGGGTGAGGATGGGGGGGTGAACCTTCATCCTTCTGGGCTAAAGTTTGCCTGATAGAGAGGGTCTGAAAATAAAATAAAACCTGAGCTCATCCTGCCTCTTGGGACGCCCCGAAGCATTCTTAGCAGCAGCTGTTTAAATTCGCGGTAGGAGACAGCGGAGTACAGTACTTGTCACGGGGTAGAAGCTGTTTAATAAAGAAGAATTAAAAATACAACCTCACTTCTGCTTTATCAGCTCGTCTGGTGCTGGGAAGAAGTTTGCTTTGGCTTCCCTGGAGCAACTCTCCTTAAAAGAGGGTGAAGCAAAGGACTGGGGTGCACCGATTGTGGCAGGTGCGTGGTCACCATAGTGTATGGTATAACTCAAGGTGGTTTGCATTGAAGCAGGCTTTTGCTCTGAGATGACAATGAGAATTTACTCACTTTTCATACTAAAGCTTTACTTATCAATTTATTAACTTTTCTTAGTCACAGCATTTGGCCCTATCTGGACAGGAAATCCTTGACTACAGTGGTTGCATGCATTGGTAATCTCAAGGATTGATTATTGCAATGCTCTCAACATAGGTCTGCTTTTTAAGACAACATGGAAGCTACAGCAGGTTCAAAATGCAGTTGGCCAGTTTGGTTTCAGAGGCTTTGAAATAATGACCACATCTCCCCAATGCTCACACACCTGCATTGGTTCCCTATCTGCTTCTGTGCCAGATGAAAAGTTTTAATAATGAGTCATAAGTCCCTTAATGGTTTGGAATCTTTATACATGTCAGAGCGTTTCTCCTTTAGATATTCTACTTACACCACCTGTTCCTCCCCAAAGGGAAGCCAGGAAAACTGTAACTAGGTACCAGACCTTCTTGATGGTGGCCATGACACTTTGGAACACTTTGCCTATGGATAACTGCTGGGCTTCCTTCCCTTTAATTTTCCCTTTGGAAAATTTGTTTAAAACCTTTTAAAAGAGGTCTTTAAGAATTTTCTCCCCCTATGCTAGATTTGTTGACAACCATATCGTCCCAATCCTGGCATGCTTATTTAAACTTTGTCTTTGTTAGCTGTTGCCATGAGGTGGGGGGAGTGCTTTTCCATTGCTTGTATTATCTGTTTGCTTTTGATTGGAGTTGGGTGGACTGGCAGTTCTTTTACTCGCTGTGAAATGCCCAGAGTAGTGGCTTGCTACTAGATGGCTGGTACATAAAAGTGATAAATAAATAAATATTAGCCAGAGAAATCTTCAGGTTCAGGGGTTGTTGAATGAGATGGATTATCTCAATCCATTTCAATTTGTCATCCAGCCTATTTGTGGAACAAAGATAACTTTGGTCACCTTGGTGGTCAGGGAGAGGGTATGATTTTTTTGGACCTGTCTCTGTCTTTCAAGCTCGTGACCATAATATCCTTCTGAGATGGGTCTTGGAGGCATTATTTTATAACTGTCCTAGACTTTTCAAGAGAGACAAGTCTCTCAAAACCTTGCTAGTATCTGTGGACCCAGGTCTTGCTAATGGCTAGGAGTTCATTTGCACAATTAAAACCAGGGGTCTCCAAAGTACAGCCCGCAGGCCACAACCAACCACCTTGCCTTTTTATCCAGTGTGTGCGCGGGGGCAGGTGTGTGCGTGTGATCCATTTCCTCAAATATGTGGAAAATAGATTATGTGGCTCACACAGTGAAAAGTTTGAAGACCTCTGGCTAAAACTAATGTATCACCATTTCAATCCTTGAAATGCTTGACCTCGCCAAAGTGACTGATGCTTTAGTTACATCCCAGCTGGATTACAGTGTTGCATTTGTCATGGGATGGCCTTCAGAAATTGTTCAGAAACTTCAGCTGGTCCTAGATGCTGTAACTGGACTGCTGACAGGAGCTGGTTACAGAAAGAAACAAAACCACTTGTTACAACAGCTTCATTGGCTACTGTTCTATTTCCTGACCCAATGGAAAGTACTGATTCTAACCCATAAAGCCCTAAATGATTTGGGTCCAAGCTTTCTAAAGGACTGCATTTCAACATATGAGGTGTCATACATTTTAATATTTTCAGGGAGACCTTTCTTTTGGTCCCACCCCCCTTCATATCTGGTGAAAACATGAGAGAGCTTTTTTAAAATTATTGTGTTTTTTTATTTTTGCTGCCCCAGGTTGTAACACTCCTTGGTTTAGATATGTGCATTGAGCAGGAGGATGGATTTGATGGCCTTATAGGACCCTTCCCACATTATTCTATGATTCTGATTGAAGCCTGAACTGCCCCACTTTGCTGTTGTGCAAGCAGAGGTCTCTGTCTTCAAGCTGTCAATGAAAGGGTCTTTAATGGGGAATGTTGTACTTTTTAAAATGTATTTTCAAATTGTTTTAAATGGTTTTTACTCGTCTTTTATTTTAAGATGCAGATAACTGAAATCCTGTTCCAGTAACATATGCCATGTAAGGTTAATGACATCAGCAGCAGTAGTGATTCTTGGTAATTAAAAACTTCCCTTTCCTGCCCCCCACACACCACAGTTTCCCAATGATGAAAGGAATTACAGGGTAATGTTGTTGTTTGTTTTGTTTTTTGTTTTTTCTTTCTCTGTTGCTTTATTATCTGGGTATGACGGGGTGGTCTGGGGGGACTGGTTTCTTGTTTGTATTCCCTTTCTTTTTAAAGTTTTAATTTTTAAGTTGTTTAATTTGATTATTGTTTAATATAAATGTGTATTTTTATGTTATGGTTTGGATTAACTTTTTTAACCTTGTTACCACTGTATTTTTTACTTTTATGAATGTGGTATTTTTTGGTCTTTTTCTTTTGTTTGACATGGAGTGGAAGGCTTGCCCCCCCCCAGTGGGGGTCCTTTGAACATCCAAGTGATTACGGGTAGAGGGAGGTATAGCAATCGCATGGTTCCTACTCATTTCAGAAGAACGATGAACTATGACCAACCGTCAGTCTCAAGATAGTCAGATCAGCCATCCCTCCACTCTGGTGCTGTTGAGTGCCAGGTCTGTATCCAGCAAATCCCAGATTATCCAAGACCTTATTCTGGAGGAGGATGCAAACCTGGCATGCATAACCGAAACTTAGATGGGCAGGAAAGGGAGTGTTCCCCTCACTCTTGCCTGTCCTCCCAGTTATGCAGTCTAGCACCAGGGTAGACTGGAGGGGTGGGGGGAGGGGGAGAAGCCATTGTTTATAGAAACACTCTGGGGGTTGTTAGGCACTCTACGGTGGTGAAGCCAGATCTGGAGGCCCTGCACGTGTCTATTGGGGCTAGGGATGATACTGGGATCTTGCTGGGTTACTGCACTCTCCGCGACCCAGCTATTTTTTTTTAACCTTGTTACCACTGTATTTTTTACTTTTATGAATGTGGTATTTTTTGGTCTTTTTCTTTTGTTTGACATGGAGTGGAAGGCTTGCCCCCCCCCAGTGGGGGTCCTTTGAACATCCAAGTGATTACGGGTAGAGGGAGGTATAGCAATCGCATGGTTCCTACTCATTTCAGAAGAACGATGAACTATGACCAACCGTCAGTCTCAAGATAGTCAGATCAGCCATCCCTCCACTCTGGTGCTGTTGAGTGCCAGGTCTGTATCCAGCAAATCCCAGATTATCCAAGACCTTATTCTGGAGGAGGATGCAAACCTAGCATGCATAACCGAAACTTAGATGGGTGGGAAAGGGAGTGTTCCCCTCACTCTTGCCTGTCCTCCCAGTTATGCAGTCTAGCACCAGGGTAGACTGGAGGGGTGGGGGGAGGGGGAGAAGCCATTGTTTATAGAAACACTCTGGAGGTTGTTAGGCACTCTACGGTGGTGAAGCCAGATCTGGAGGCCCTGCACGTGTCTATTGGGGCTAGGGATGATACTGGGATCTTGCTGGGTTACTGCACTCTCCGCGACCCAGCTATTTCCTTATTGGAGCTGGCGGACTTTGTCTCCACAGCACTGTTGGACTCGCCAAGGTTTTTGGTCTTGTGTGATTTCAACATCCATGCAGAGGCAGAGGTTTCCTGTCTGGCTCTTGAGTTCTTGGAAACCATGGCTTCCTTGGACGTGTCCCAACATATTAACAACCCCACCCACGTGGGTAGTCACATGCTAGACCTGGTGTTCTCGACTGCGTGGAGTGAATGTGGTCTGGTAGTAACTGACCTTGTGTCAGTTCCCTTGTCATGGTCAGATCACCACCCAATTAAAATATAACCTCTCAGTGGCTCTCCCTCTCCACAGGGAGCAAAGACCTATTTTAATGGTCCGCCCTTGATGGTTACTGGATCCTATAGGATTCCAAGATTCCATGAGAGGGATTCTGGCTGATCTGACTGGCGCTCCTGGCAAGACTCTGGTTGATGGCTGGTTTGCTGCCGCCACCAGGGCTGTTGACACAATCACTCCTAAACATCCTCTCCATTGCAGAGCTCGGCCAGCTCCCTGGTTTAACCAGGGGCTGTGAGCTATGAAGCCAAACAGGAGAAGGCTGGAGTGCATTTGGAGATGGAACCCAACAAATTATAATCGGAAAGCTGTTAGGATTGTGACTAACCACTACCTTACTAAGGTGAGGGCTACCAGTCAAGCTCACTTTGCTGTCCGGATAAGCGAAGCTTCAAATCAGCAGGCGGAACTTTTCCATATAGTTCACGATCTATCCAGAATTGGTCTAAGTGATGGGCCTCCTACTAGTATTTCACCTGACCAATTTGCAGCATTTTAAAACTAAAGTGGAGGCCATCCCCCGAGAGCTCTCTCCTGTTTTGAACACAGTAGATCGAGCAAAGACGTCCAGCACTCCGCCTTGCCCGATGAGATCTCTCAGCCTGTGATGCCAGATATGGTGGACAAAGTGCTTGACCACTGTTGTGCCATCATCTCCTCCCTTGACCCTTGCCAGCCTGGCTAATCAAAGCAGCCAGGCCTATAACAACCGAATGGGCCACAGCAATAATTAATGGGTCTCCAGGAAACACTCATTAGGCCCATAAGGAAGAAACCAAGTTTGGCAGC